CCAGGCCGGTCTCCGGTCTGGTATACTGATGATGTCCGCTAAGCGGGTCAACAGGGAAAGATGAGAGGCCACCACAAAGATGAAAGGTGGAATCGCATTCAGTCTGGTCACAGACAGTCTATCTGACGCAGTGCTTGTCGCTTGCAGATATTGACCTCCGAGGGCTTTGGGATTTGGAGAGAGGACGAGGTGATTCTCGTTCTTCCAGGCATTCAACACGCACTGTTCGCAGTGCTGTTTGTGTACCGTGCGCATCAGTGATGCGTGTCTGTCAACGGTATCTTGTCATCTTTTTCATTGAGCTCTGGGCCTTGCGCCTAGACTTGAGGAAGGAGAGTTGTTTGGGCAGATGAGCGACATATGTAGTATCCATGGATGTGAAGATAGTTGTACACCACGAAGTCTCAATAAAGATGTCATTACGACAATGTTGGAGAAGTGTGTTATGCAATAAGTAGATGAAAGACGACTCCATGCAACTATTGCTTAAGAAAGGAAAGGCTGGAATTGGGGAGTATGGATCGTAACATCATGAAAGCACCTAGAGACTCGTCTCACTCATCGCTATCATCTTCATCATCGTCCATCTCTTCGTCTTCATCTTCACTATCATGTTCACTTGCGTCAAGATCCACGGGTACCGTTGCCGGCCAATCCACGGTCACCTCTTCCTGTAATTCCTCCCAAAACTTGCCCATATCTGCTCCGGCGTACTCCATCACCTTCTTCGCCGGGACTGGGATGTTCAAATTGCTGTTTGCATCATCGCTCTTGAAAGTCACATACATGTGGTCTTGTTGCAACATGCCGACTTTAAGATGAGTAAGAGCAAGTCGCGGCGTCTTGGACAGCTTGCGGAAGAAGTCGCGCCAGAAGTTGGGCTTGTGTCCGTGAGGTGGAGCGACTACAGCGGGGATGTTCATCCTCCAAAGGCTCAGATCTTCCAGAGTCGGCGCGAACTTGGAGATGAAGTTGAACAGAATATCAGCCCGAGCGCTCAGCTGACCAAGCTCGAGGTTCTTTAAGAGCGGTAGAGCAACTGGGGCAGGGTCAAGAAAAGTCGCTGTATTTGAGCCGGTAGTGGGTTTCGGAGTAGCCAACCACTGCAGAAAGTCCTCGTTATTAGCCACCAGATGTTTCTCAAAGTTCAGGCGAAGATGAACGAGATTGGGAGTGAAATGGAGGAAGCGCCGAAGCGAGCGTCCCGCGTTTGGATCCACTGACGTTCCATTACTATGGGTGTGCAGGTAACGAGGCTTGAGGTCCACATTCAAGAGTAACGTGCTCGTGTTCTGCAGTATGGGCTCCACTGTAGGTCTGATGTAGTCTGGAAGGAAGAATGCCGTGTCGGGCAGGCCGCGCTGACGAAGCAACACCTCAAACTCAGTAGGCCGTCGGTTAGCCTTGCCCAAAGCGTACAACACGCTGGAGAAGACGCGAGACGTGAAACGAGTGCCGACATCCTGTCCGAAGGAATCGCGATCGGCGAACCGTAGCTCAATACCGGTCTCGCGATGGACGGTAGTTGCGCCCCAGGAGCTCCAGCTCTTGCCATCACGAACTCGATTGCCTGCGTTGAAGTCGCGGATCCCGACGGTGGTGAGGTTCTCGAGACGCTCGAAAGCTTCCGTAAGCATCTCGCGGTCGATCCCAGTACCCAAAAGCGCTTTCTGGTCCTCGTAGCCCTGAATGTAGCGCGTAGCGGCGTCGTCGTCCCTGAAGCGTAGTGGTATCTCGCTGTAGACATTGGTGGCAATGATGATATGTACCAGCTTCTTGGAAAGACTGGCATGCTTGGATATGTCGATGAGCGCCTGTAGGCTCTTGTGCGTGAGCATGAACTGTTTCTTGAAAAAGAACTCTTTGGAAAACCATTCATAAAGTGACTTCTCGGTTTGTTTGCATGCAAGACGAAGTGAACCAAGATCTTCAGTAGGGAGGTATTCTGATACCGCGACCAGCAATTCCAGCGGTATGGTGAGTAGTGATGCCATCTTGACAGGAAGCGACGTTGATGAGTGAAGTTTGCTGTCGTGATGATGCGGGTGCTTGTGGCACGACTTATCATGTGTGCACGCGTTCCGTTCGCGAAGGCAGAAACGCGGGCTAGTCCGCTTTGGGCGCTGATGCCTAAGGGCGTTCCTTCCGAACACAGGCCACCGTCTCATCGGCCACCTGGTTCCGTCTCAACCAAATGTTCAAATAGCCATTCTGCGCCCCCAATCCAGCTGCATCGCGTCTTCCAAGGTTCATCGAAGTCAATCGCATCAAGCGCATCAATCGTATCAATGGTACTCACTGGATTGTCCATCGCGGCATCTGGCCGCTTCCCGAGTGGAGTAACTCAGAAGACGCTACAAACGCGTATAACGTCACTCGGCGCCGAGTTCCTGTCGAGCGTCACGCCGGACACCACCCATCTCATCGCAACGCAAAAAGAATTCGAAAGCAATTCCACGAAAGTCAAGACTGCTGTTGCTCAGAACGTGTCGATCGTTAGCCTCGAATGGCTCGACGAGTGCGAGGCGACAGGTAAGTCCACAACATTCCGACGCACTCAGAACCGCAACATGCTTTTCAACTCTTAACGAAGAACTTCAAATTGATGGTTGGAGCAGATTCCTATATTCCTGAGTCGCAATATGTGTTGTCTTCTGCGGCGGCGCCAGCTCCTGCCCCTGTCCAAAACGGGTCAAAGAAGCGCGCGGCGTCATCTGCATCACCACCAACTGCACAACAGGAGACCAAGAAGCCCAAGATCAAAGAGAATGCCAAAGTTGGAGATGGACAAAATGCCAAGTCCAAGCAGATTGCCATCTCCGTAGACGAGCATTGCCCTCTGTCTAGCTGGCGCGTTTACATCGACAACAACGACGGCACGATCTACGACGCGTCACTCAACCAAACGAATTCGTCTGCAAACAACAGTGAGTAACGGCAGTCAATCCCAGATTTTGGACGTGTATGCTGACTACCTCAGACAAGTTCTACAAAGTCCAGCTTCTCACCGATGGCTCCAGCTACCGAACGTGGACACGCTGGGGGCGAGTCGGCGACCGTGGCCAGATGAAGATGCTTGGCGATGGAGGCCTCAGTAATGCCATGCAGGAGTTTGAGAAGAAGTTCAAGGACAAGTCTGGCCTCAAGTGGGCGAACCGCGGTGACGAGCCGAAGGCTGGCAAATACGCCTACGTAGAGCGCTCCTACAACCCTGACTCGGACGACGATGACGACGGCGATGCCGATGCTGGTGCTGATGCCAACGAGACCAATGGCGTAGCGCCCGACAGCACCTTGTCTCCCCCGGTCCAGGATCTTATGAAGCTCATCTTCAACCAGGTAAGAATCCAGTGCTTTTGGAGTACCCGGGTGGCTACAACCCGCGTCGCATTTTGAAAAAAAAAAAAACGAAAGATCATGGAGCCTGGAGACTACATAGCTCCAGGACGTGTCCATCCGTTACTTTTTAGCGATGCGTATGCGGCAACACGAATTTCAGGCTAACATTTTCAATTAGGATTACTTCAATCAAACCATGACTGCCCTGAACTACGACGCAAACAAGCTCCCACTGGGAAAGCTTAGTAAAGGTACCATCGCTCGTGGTTTCCAGACTTTGAAGGACCTGTCCGTGCTTATCGACGAGAACGACAACGATTCAAGGGCAGAGGTTGAACGTCTGTCGAACCAGTACTTCTCTCTCATCCCACACGCCTTCGGTCGCAATCGCCCGCCGGTCATTCGAGACATCACACTCCTTAAGAAGGAGATTGAGCTACTTGAGAGGTAAGTCTTCTTGACTGTACGAATGCATGTGAGGCATATACTGACTTCGTACTCCACTATAGTCTTTCGGACATGAAGGAGACTGCTGCCATGCTCAAGGACCAATTGAAGGACAAGAGCGATGTGAACAAGCTCGACAAACAATTCCAGGGACTTGGCATGAACGAGATGACCCCTCTTCAACACAAGAGTCGCGAATTCGTGGAGATCGACGAGTATCTCAACAACTCGAAGGGCAAGACACATCATGTCAGCTACAAAGTTCAAGAGATTTTCCGCATCGAGCGTCAAGGAGAATTCGACCGTTTCGACAAGAGTAAGTATGCGAAGATCGCAAGCAACCGCCGCTTGCTTTGGCACGGATCCCGAGTCACCAACTATGGTGGTATCTTGGGTCAAGGTCTCAGAATCGCTCCACCGGAAGCCCCTGTCAGCGGATACATGTTTGGCAAAGGTATCTATCTCGCGGATATGTCTTCAAAATCCGCCAACTACTGCGCTTCGTACAATTCTGGAGGCACTGCGCTGCTTCTTCTCTGTGAAGCTGAGCTCGGCAACCCAATGCATGAGCTTACCGACGCTTCGTACACTGCTGGGGAGGACGCCGCCAAGAAGGGCCTACACAGCACATTCGGTATGGGGCAGACTGGTCCAAAGAAGTGGAAGGACGCGGGTTGCGTGAACCCAGCCCTCAAGGGCTGCATGATGGTAAGCATGCTTTCATTCTCAGATTTGGATTCGCAGCTAACCATACTAGCCCGATGTATCGACACCACCTGGTGCTACCAATGTACCCAACGCGTACTTGCAGTACAACGAGTACATCGCCTACGACGTCGCTCAGGTCAAGCTCCGCTACCTGCTCCGTGTTCAGATGTAGATTCCTAGCGCGATCATCTCTCGAATCGGCGTTGAGGCGTTCCAAGCGGGGTTCACAAGGAAAATTCAAGGCAGGCGTCTACATGGTCTTAGGGATTAGGTTGCTGTTAAGATAAAATGCTATGTATGCAGCAAAGCCCGCGTCATGGGCTTTGCGCAGGCGTTCACTGTTCTCACATTCATGTCTTTCGTTGCGCACAACGTTATTTCGTGATGAGCCCAGTCTGTCAAAAAGCATGGTATATTCGTCGTTAATCAGATACAAGCATCGCGAAAGGTCCCTATACACATCGGTAACATCGTCAAACTCCAGGCCAGTACACAAGCAAGCGAATCTACTCGCGTCCACCGACCCTCCTTTCGTAGTCGTCTTCAAGCCTAGAGGCATCCACCACCTCGACGCCCTTACCCAGCCCGATCATGTCATTGCGAACCTGCCACCACCTAACAGTGTGCTCACTCTCCTTGCCCTTGCGCATGGGGCCCTCGTCGTCTGTGTCAACGAGCCCACCAAGGCCTGTGCCATCACCGCCAACAACGACAATGGTCTGGCCAACCCACTTCCTAATGTCATCGATGTTCTGACCGTTCACGCCGCTCAATGCATCGACCACGTAGACAAGCTCTGGTCCGAGATGCCTGAGCATGTGCACGAAGCCGGTGGTGGTGTTGAACGGCATGACCATGGCTGGGTCCTCGACGAGGCGGAGGGCCTGGGAGTGGAGTGTGTTCCACAGCGAGTTGTCAGAGCCCCTGGTGCTGGGTGCGGGTGTGTAGATGACAGGTTCAACGGACGACAGCTCCTCGCCTGGTGTGCGTGCCGGTGTGCTGATAGCAGAGTATGAGTCACCGAGCGAAGACGAGCCAGTGCGGGAGTTGGCGCGGGATTGTGGGCGCGAGCGCAGCGATGGGGAGTAGATGAGGACGAAGAGCTTGGTTCGCGAGAAGTCGGTGTCGGGAAGGTGGGAGAGGATGGTCTGCGAGCTGTTAGTTTCTGGCACGTGAAGAGAGAGATGAGACGCAATGCTTACAGCGTTTTCTTCGCGGTACGAGCCCTCGTCATCGTCCAACCGGTCCAGGCTTTCTGCGCTGACGACCAAGACTACCGTCTTCCTTCTTCCTCCGTAGCCCTGGCCTCTGCCTTCAGCCTTCCGCACGCTCTCCGCGAAGCTTCGTGCCTGCACATCGACTGCGGCATTGCTATCCCGGCTCTGCGCCTCGACATTCCTTCTAATTGTGGCCTCCTCGTTCCATCGAGAGTGGTCGCCAAAAGCTTCGTCCTTGTCTTCCTCGCGGATGGAAGCAAGCGCCGCACCAGCTGCAGCACCTGCCGCGGCCCAACCTGCTGCTGTCTTCTTGCTCACGGTATCGAAAAGCTGCTGCGGGGATGGTGTGCGACGGATGACGCCTTGTGCACGGCCAAGCAGCGTGCCATCGCCGTAGCCATAGCCCTCACCGCCCCCTTCCCCTACAGGGAACCCAGAGACATCGCGTGCTGCAGGCGCCCTGCCCTGTCGCTTCTCATGTGCTGAATCTTCGCCATAGGAAAGATCGTCATCGGACGAGTAGTCACGGCTGTCCTCGCGCGCACTCCAGACCCAGGCTGCGAGACCGGCGGTTGCGACGGTGACGGTGAGGATCAGAGGAACGTAGAAGCCGAGGGCGCCGCGGTTGCGCGAGTTGTTCTGGCGGCGGTCGTAGCGGTCGTAGTTGAAGGACGACATGGCGCCTCAGGTCATGGTATCGTGAAATGTTTCGTGGGCGGGTCGGGCGTTGTTTTGGTCGTCAGCCGCTGCCGCTCGGCTGCTTCCCTGTTGTTGACGGCCGGCAGCCCAGGGCGAGTGGCTGGGAGCTGAAGCTTGCTTGCCTGCCTGACACGCGCTTGCAGGCCCTCCGGGAGTGTGCGCGAGTCAGCCCTCGAACTTTTGGTGGCCGCGGGGTGACTCTTACACCCCACACCTCTTTGTACCTGCAGCATCACTCGGCGGATATACGCCAATAACACCTTCCACAGGCGAAGCCGGCAATAGCGCCTTCTATTCAGAAAGGATCGAGATAGACTCAGAGCTACCATACTACGCCCATATCGCGACACACACCGCACACCCACAATGCCTCACGCGACGAGTCTGCCCGCGCCGGGCTTCCAGGCCCTCATTCTGTGCGGCCCTGGTGCTTCCTTCAGTACCTTTACATCCACGCCCAAGGAGATACCAAAGGCCCTGCTGCCCATTGCCAACAGGCCTATGGTCTGGTATCCTCTGGAATGGTGTTACCGCATGGGAGTCACAGGTATACCATTAAGCATATGCTCCTTCTATAACCTGTGTTAACCCTTTGTAGATATCACAGTCGTGACACCGCCAGAGTCATTAGAAGCCATCGAGGCTGCCATGTCGCAGAACCCACACCTCACAACCCTCCCTTCGCCGAAGCCCGATATCCTTGCGCCGAAAGACCTCTCACATCAGACGAGTACGGGCGACCTCTTCCGGTTACCTGAGCTACAAAATGCGATCAAAGGCGACTTCATAGTACTGCCATGCGATCTCGTATGCGAATTGGATGGCACAGCGTTGGCAGACGCATGGATGGTAGAACAGGGCGGATTCGCAGGAGCTAGTGGAGGACTAGATCACAACGGCAGCAAGATCGCCTTCGGCGCTGGCGGAGAGAAGCTCGGAAGAAGGGGCGGCATGGGCGTGTGGTACCAGGCCAAGGGAGAAGGCAGCAGGAAGAAGGAGGAGACGGATTTCATTGCGACAACACCGCTACCTACGTCCATCGTCCCTGTCCCGACAGACTCGCTGCGCCGCAACATCTCGAAACTCGTCTACTCCGTACCCACCGACACACTGAACGACATCACGGAGGAGAACAAGACATTTCCACTGCGACATTCCCTCATTCGCCAGCACGCGCGGATAAGAATGCTTACGACCCACCGCGACGCACACATCTATTTCTTCCCATACTGGGTTATTGAGATGATCAAGAAGAACGAGAAATTCGAGAGCATCAGCGAGGAGGTTTTGGGATGGTGGGCGAAGGCGGGCTGGCAAAACGGTCTGGGAGACAAGTTGAGTCTGCGGCAGATACTCCAGGGCGAGGACGAGGAGTCGGATCACGGGTCGCAGGTTGTCGAGGAAGAGATCGATGTATCCAAGTTCAGCACAACGTACTCCGGCAGTAACACAGAATCCGACTCGAAAGCCCCAGCAACACTCGCGTCAAGAGTCACAAAGTCATCCAGCATACCCGAATCCGCGAAATCGCTCACTTCAAATACGAAACTTACGGTACCACCGATCCTTGCCTACGTCCAGCCATCGGGGCCTACCGAACCCCTCATTCGCCGTGTAGACGACTCACATCTTTTGCTTACCGTCTCACTCCGCCTAGCGAAGCTGCAGTCGATCGAGGAAGTCGGCAAGGAAGCAGCATCACCTTTCGCCCATCAGTCAAAAATCGTTCACAAGGAGTCTATTCCCCGGAAGTGCCGTGTAGAAGCCGAGAACTCACTGCTAGCGGACAACGTCATCGTAGAAGAGAAGACCAACATCAAGGAAAGCGTCATTGGACCGAACTGTAAGATTAGCGAGGGCGCAAGGTTGTTGCGGTGCCTGTTGATGGACGGAGTCGAAATTGGACCCAACGTACAACTCACAGACTGCATACTGGGCCGGAGATGTAAGATGGAGGGTGGCGATGCTAAAGACGGTGACAAGACTGTTCTCAAGGACTGCGAGGTTCAAGATGGACAGGTTGTGGAGTGGGGTAGTAAGTATCTCTTGACCCGTTTTGTGGAGAAGGCAATATTAACCATTATGCAGCTGAGGCGAAGAACGAAAAGTTCATGCGCTTTGATGTCGGCGATGATGTGGGTAGTGAAGGTTTTGGCGGAGACGAGATGGACACTTTGAACGACGATGGAGATGAAGGTATCCCGTTGCGGTAATTGCTAGATCAGGAGGTGGATGACATGACGCGCATCACGACAGTACGAATTAACATGCAACCGAACGAGCCGTGACTTTTCACCCTCGAAAATAAGAACGATAACGTGTGTCGTTCCGGGATCTTTCTCGCTCGACTACTCGTCTTCGCCATGGCCACAGGAAACGACGAATCGTTTGCTCATAAGGAAGTCTCGTCGGTCTCGCTATAAAGTGCAAGATACGAGAAATCCATGGCCACAACGTCAGTACCTTACTTGTCACGCTTTGCCCAACTTGCGGTAACCTCGAGGTCCGTTTGCTACCTAGGTAACACATGAGCTTGGCGTCACGGGTGCCCGCGTCCTGTCTTGCGTTCTCGTTTCGCCCTCACGCCAACATCTCTCATTTAATCAATTTTGTTACAGGTCGCATCTGCATCAGCATCTCTTATTCCATCCCTCTCACCACCTACGTAGCATGTCCTACACCCCAAACGATCCCGATGCGGTTATACCAACAAGGCATTTTTGCGACGACTGCAAGCAGGAAACCACTTCTAAACTAGACTGCGCGAATCTGGAGAAGGTCGTCTGCTTCACCTGTCCTCGTCGAGATCACTTCAGCGGCGACTGTGACAATTTGATACGCACAAGCAACCCTCCGTCAAGTGTACCACCCTTTTGGTCCTCGCTTCCGCTGCGGCGGCTGTTCCCCACTATCAGCACGAGAAGTTCCACCACAGGGCTGCGTACCCAGTCAACGGATGGGGCAAATCCAACACCATGTGAGAGCAAGGAATACACCGAAAGGAAAGATGTCCAGATACAACTACTAGACTGGCAACATCGCTGCAACGATGCTTTACGTCTGCTGCGAGTATGCGATCGCGAAGAGGCCGCCGATGCTTTGGAACTCCAGCGTCCAGATCTTCGCGGATGGAAAGAACCCTCGGAGACGGAGTACACACATGTACATGAATACGAAAAGGTTGCCAATATATTCAGCGACCAACTCTTGGTGACCCGGGATTCAAGCCGTAGACTAACACGGAGGAAACAGCATCTCAACGCGATGAAGAAATATTGCCTCGCCATCTTTCACAAACTCGAAGCGTTTGGCCTTGCGGAAGCGGGTAAGACGCCTTACACCAAGTCCATAAATAACTGAGACCTGACTGTCAATCACAGCAATGGACCCCCTCACCCGCTGGCACATCGACCCCAAATCTCCCACGATCGAGTCGGAAACCCAGAAAATCTTATCCCACATCCCCACGACTGCACCCAACACAGCCGGCTCGATGGCCAACTTCATAGACCTCATGCACACGCACATCACCCACCTATACGAAATGCCCGGCGACACCCTCTACTCCCGCTACACGATAGCCTTTAAGATCATCCAAACCGCCGTCCGCTGGAAGTTCACCGGTACAACCTTTACGCAGAACAATGTCCATTGCTCCAGTATCTCAGCTGCAGATATCACGCGCCTTTTTCGGCCGCTGGATACGCAGTTTAAGGGTATACTTGAGGAGGGGTTGATGAGGAAGGGGGGCTTGCCGTGGGATCAGGCACTGTGTTTCTTGGAGACGCATCGTATGGAGCGGTTGTATGCGGGTTCTTGGGGGTGGCTGAGGGAGTTGTTTCATTATGAGGATGGTGGGTTGGCGCCGTGATGTTGTGGGGTGTTGTGGTTGTGACGTCGTTCCTTTCTTGTCGGTCCGAGCTGCGATGGGGCTTGTGTTTAGCTTTCTCGTCATTTCTTACTAGTCTTTACTTTGGATGTATACTACTGTTTGCTATATGTTTAGGCGACGGTCATGAAATGTGGGAAGAATGTTGCGTGTGAAGATGGAGATATGACATCTGGATGACAGCTGAATCTAGATTGCGCTAGCGCCAGGTCCCTTCCCGTACCTGCACCGGGGAATCTCACCGCATATCACGCAATACACGATAGATCCACCGTCGGATCTCCAATCGGCTTTCATTTCGAGGTGGATCTCAACTCACATTTGACGAGTACAAGGTCAGGTTGTCTACGCTAGGCTGCCCGGCACGACTTACCCAATGCGGACAAATATCACGGAGAGGAGAAGAAGGGGTAGGCAGCAATCAGTGCTCAACGGGGCCAAAGTAGTACTCAGTCGTAGCCTGGTCTATGTATATGAAGAACGGTATGTGTCGCTGAACATTAGATAATTGACTTCAAATCCCCCCAACTTCTCCTTCAAACCCAACACCATACATCACCAGCCAGTAAGTAGCGACACCACTTCAATGAACTCTGCGTCAACTGGAGAACATATACTTACCATTTTGTAGTGTCTCAGAAATACGTACCTCTCACCATTATCAAGGGCGCGGGCAATGAGTACATCCCCATCCCCGATGGCGAGAGCGCCATCGTCGCAGACTTCCACTCGTAAGTCCACCAACCCATTACACCACATAAAATCAACCCCTCCATCTCTCCCCCACACCAAATACCCAGCACCCCCATCTAACGCACCCCCAGCATCCGCACCCAAACCACCGACTCTCCCACATACCTGACCTCAGGATTCTACCGCATCAAAGCGGGCCCCACCCGCAACATCCCCACCTACGACTACGAGGAGACCAAGTACGTTCTCAACGGCCAAATCGACGTATTAGACGAGTCGACCGGCGTCACACATCACCTTGTTGCGGGCGACTTTGCTTTCTTCCACGTTGGCTCCAAGGCGCAGTTCTCGAGCAAATCGGGTGGAACGGCTTTCTTTGCGGTCACTAGGCCGATTATTACACAGCATCCCGGGTTGAAGGGGAGGGAGGAGAAGGTGCTGAGTAAGTTGTAGATTTGGATATGGGCTATGGGAGTGATGAGAGTGGTCGTCTAGGATCGAGTTCGGCGGCGGCGAATGATGACGACGAGGATGGCTTTGGCGGGTGCAATCTCGTGACATGTATCGCTGCTAGGAACTAAAGGAACGAGTTGTCGAGTTCGATGAGAATAAATGACGAATAAAGGACCACATTACCCCAATGCTGAAGTACCGACGAAAACGCCTCAGTACTTCAGTATTGGGGTAATGGGGTCCCTCGTTTGTCATTTAATCTCATTAATGGAACTCATTCCTCGATGACAAAGTCTCTATCGAATTGAAGATACAGCACTCGAAAATGCAGTGATACATTTCTTAATACTCTTGCGCCAATGTATAGGTGTCAAAACTCGTGAATGGAGAGCGCACCCTGGAAGAAGGCGTTGGCCTGTCGACAAAGCTGCGATATCCCCGAGATAGTTCCGAGATATTATCGTGCTCCGGCGGGGTCCAGACTGATATGCCGCTAACGTCATCTGGACCCTTCGATCGCGACAATCTTTCATGTGTACGCCATCATCTCGACTCATGCATCGTGTATTCTCAACACCACGAGGATGGCGCAGTCGCCTCTATCCGGCGTCATGATGCCGCCACGCTTCAATATCGAGTTGGACCGTACGGACCCGGACGTCCCCTTCCGCGCATCGCAGTCACACATCCATCACACATGGGCCCGGACGTTCCATTCGCGGCCGGAGCTCTACATCCGGCCGCAGAGTCTTCAGGAAGTGCAGAAGGTTGTTAACCTCGCGAGACGTATGCGAAGGCGCGTAGTTACTGTAGGATGCGGACATTCACCCTCAGATATAACGTGCACGTCGGCATGGATGATCAACCTCGACGACTACAAGGAGGTGTTGAACGTTGACAAGGAACGCAAGACGATGACTGTGCAGGCTGGAATACGCCTACACAATCTCAACCTCCAAGCGAAGAGCCACGGCTTGACCATGCCGAATCTTGGATCTATCGACGATCAATCGCTGGCGGGAGCGATTGCGACAGCGACGCACGGCAGTTCATACAACCACGGCCTCCTCTCCGACCGCGTTCAGAGCCTCCGCATAGTACTGGCGAACGGCCAAGCGGTACGCTGCTCACCCCAGCAATCGCCAGATCTCTTCCGGGCAGCGCTCGTTTCGCTGGGCGCATTAGGCATCATCGTCGAAATCGAGTTCCAGATGATCGAAGCGAACAACGTCGAATGGATACAGACTATATTACCGATTGAAGACGTTTTGGCAGATTGGAACAACGGGCTCTGGACATCGAGCGAGTTCACGCGAGTATGGTGGCTACCGTACATGAAGCGTGCAGTCGTATGGCGGGCAGACAAGACGGACAAGGCGCATCGGCAGCCGGAGTACAACTGGTATGGCGGTAGCGTCGGCTTCCACACATACCACATTCTCCTCTGGATATCGCAGTATGTCCCGCGCTTCCTGCCCTGGGTTGAGTGGTTCGTCTTCGGCATGCAATACGGTTTCAAAGACGGTGCTCTCATTTCTGCGGTTGGCGAGCAACGCACGGAATTGTTGATGAACTGTCTCTACTCGCAGTTCGTTAACGAATGGAGCGTTCCCCTCGATAAAGGTCCTGAGGTATTGTCGCGACTGACAGACTGGTTGCACGGCGACGAGCAATCCTCCGGGATTCCCTTCAGCACTAAAGGTCTCTACGTCCACTCGCCCATCGAAGTCCGCATCGCAAACACCGTCAACCGAGAACCGCGTCCATTCCTGGACACCTCATATCCCGACCAACCTGCTCTGTACCTCAATGCCACGCTCTACCGTCCCTACGGCCAGGATCCCCCTTGCCGCGAACGCTACTACCAAGCCTTTGAACACCTGATGAAAGAGTACAACGGCCGACCTCACTGGGCAAAGAACTTCCAATCCGTCGACAACGCCTACCTCTCCTCTGTATACGGCAACGACCTAGACGAATACAACCGCGTCCGCAACGAAGTCGATCCCGAAGGCATGTTCCTCGGCGCCTGGCACCGTCGCACGATCCTCCCTCCCAAGACCGATCTCCCTCTACTCCCCCTCGAAGAAAAGGAAGTCGTACGCCGCGACCGACGCACTGGTGGAGTAGATTGGATAGGCGAGCAAGCCCGGTGGTTCGATGGCGGTGCTGATGTATTCGAGAAGGCCGGCAGTGAGTCTGGCGAGAGCTTCGATTACATGGCCGGCGCGGAAGCAGAGAGCAGTGTGTTGTTAGAGAGCTTGAGCGATGAGCTCATTGTAACGGAGGAAACTTATGAGAATGTCACCGAGAGTCGGAGGAGAGAGGGCACTGAGGAGTATGTTACGGGTACGAATGTGTTCAATAAGATGTAGATGTATATACTAGGAGGGGAAATACACCACTCTATGAAGATATGATAACGATGTTTTAACATTGCGACATTCGCTCATGTTCATTGCCGTGACATCGAATAGTTGTACTTGGGTGGCTTGTCTACCTGTGCGCCCAATCGGGTGAGGCGCATCCGCGACTTCCCATCGTCCCAAGGTCATACTTCCAAGGTTCACTCGTCTGCCACCATCACTCACGTCGTTCACCACAACCGATCGCGAACGCTTCTGAACTTTGTCGTTATTCCTCTTTGACCGGTTCAATCTGATGTCTACCTCCCAGCCGATGCACATCCGCCCGGGTTCAAGAATGGATTCCGTCCCTCCTTCATCAGGCTGACCACAGTAGTTCAGTAACGTTAACATATTATGTCAGAAATCCCAGCTGTCTGATGACATGGTGACTGACAACGAAGATGTGTCGTCGACTGCATACCACTCTCCCTGTGGCGATCATCGTGATCATCGCGATCGACGATCACATATTGAGCGGATGGACCCTTCGGCAAGCAGCCGGTATCAGATATAAACATGGGCAACAGCATGTCACTATCTGCTACAGGGAAGTTGCCGTACTGCGTTGTTCTTTACAGATCTCGTTATGTCCCATCGTCACTCGACTAATAGCATCACAGTGTCGATACCATGCAATTGCATATCCCGGTCAATCATGTACTGACGAGAACGCAGAACGTCCTTGGAGGTTGGGCCCTGCCATCGAGTACGTTCAACTTCGCTCAGCACTCAAATTCCTCATGCCCGAGGATTGGTCATCCAAATTAAAGGCCTCACGGATGAGGAGACCCGTAACGAGGACTTCTATCACAGTTCGACGCCACATGCAGCCACCCCTTACGTCTTCTCGGCTGATGGGCGTTATTTCCGCTTGCGAGATCATGACCCACAAGTAATATATCTCCTACCTTGGCAGCCACGTTCTGAGCTTGGCATGCAGCCACAACACGAGGAAAGCTTGGCCGATTCTAGAAGGTGGCCGACATGATTGCTTGGAAGTCTGCTTGCAGGGATATAGGAGAAAAGGAAGTCAATGCAGGGAGTTCAAGGCGAACGATATTTGAACGAGCGATTAGATTGACACATTACGGACTAGTTCGAACGACCCGCATCGCCCGTATCTACAGTCTAATTCGGACAGCAACCGAAGCGCCGCTATTGTCTGGTCTTGCACACCGACTGCTCATCCGATTATCCGCGACCCATCCTGACTTAGGAAGTCTGCACATAGATGTCCGAGCTGCCAGAAGACTGGTAGCCCTCAGTGGCGACGATCTGGTAGTAGTGCTGGCCCAAGTTCATGCCGTAACGAGCCCAGGCGTTGAAGTGGTTTTGCATGTTGACGCTGCCACCGACGCGCTTCTGCGTGCGGACAGACCTGAGAGTTTGTTAGTGTGCGTCCGGCATCCACATGTCGCTTGCAGACTTACCAGTACTGCTGAAAGGTCCTTGTTCCATCAATGGAGGGTTGGTTGGTACGGGTGGAGGTGGAAACGTCGTAGGTACCGCCGTCAGTCGTGAAGCTGCCCTTGCGCTGGGATCCGCTGCTGGGGTTGTAGGTGCCGTAAGACTCGATCACGTAGTACTCCACAAGCGGGTTGCGGGTCCAACCGTAGACGGCAAGGTAACCGTTACCCTGAGGCTGGAAAGATCCGCCGTAGTTGATCGTGCTAGGATGGGGATCAGCAAATGATGAAGCTTAGTTCTTCCAGATGACATACCGGCCGGTTCCAGGGTTCCATCCCTTGCCACCGACGAAGTTGCCGGTGTTCCTCCAGGTCACGGAGTATCTGCTGCCCTCTCCCATGGTGTACTGAGCGGAACCACCGCCATCAGTCCACCACGAGTAGAAGTACCCGTTGTTGTAGCCCTCGGCGCTGGGGGTGGACTGACGCTTCTCAAGAGCAGTTGCGTTGCCATCGTCACGCTCAGTGAGGAAGTCAAAGGGAGCGGCGAGCACGCTGGTGGTAGCCACAGCGGCGAGAAGGAGAGACTTGAAAGAGACCATGTTGAGCTGAGTTGGAGATCTGTGCTGGATGCGGTGATGATACTGAACTGCGAGCAGCAGCGAGCTTATATGTCGACTTCGAGGTGGAGATGAGCCTGAATCGCTGGAAGAAGTCGCCTTTGGTGGTCATGAGGTATCATCTCGCCTCTGTCTACATCCGTCTTGGTGTCAACGACGATGGTGTGTTCCAGTCCTCTCATTTCGAAAAGCACGCCCGGCGCACTGACTAGAACGGCCTAGGAACCACGAACACGGCAAGCTGCACCGTTCAGTGGCCGGCCTCGGTAATCATGGAAAAGATAGAAGAGCACAAAGATCCATGCCCCTTGCACACATCTGCACGACACCACAAAGATAATATCGCTGATCCGGGCTTTACGCGCTTTCTCAACCCGGTTCACAGGATGTTAATATAAAAGAACGCCACTAGTGTACAGGTGGTCGCCTTACCCCACACTCCTCGGAAGACAACGAAGCTTGGAAGGAACACCCGCCGCGCTAATGTCATGTAGGCGATGATATTGTTAGCGACAGTGGCGCACGTGATGAAACATTGGGCGCTCATGGCGGGAAGCCTCGGCAAACTCAGGATAACCACCGGATGAAGAGGATCTGCCAAGATGTATAGTAGCCGGCTTTTCTACCGATCCTGGTAAGACATGCCAAGCGCGGTGGGTATCTTGAGCGGAGATGATGTGTGGAGTGCATGAGTGGATCTCGAGGTCGGTGAGTACATGATAGCAATGTTACTATGCACTACATGAACGCATAATGGTGGTGTTATTACTGACAGGTCAAGGCACCCCTGGAAGTGTATCGAGGTTCGCGAACTCTTCACAGTTCACACATTCAGCGTTCAGGAGATCTTCACTTCGCGAACTCTTATTCTGCCTTGATCGCCTGTACTCAGTTAGGCGATCGACACGATAGTATCTGACTAACAACATGGACTACAGGATGAACTGCTGGTGCAACACCATTCGAAGCGACCATCAGTATACAGCACTAACGGCTTCGCGTACAGCATCGGGGCACTACGGCTGCGCTTGTAGGTCGCGCAACTTGCCCAGTTCTCTAGGTCCAAGACCGCCGAATGCCTCATATTAGCTGGCAAGCCGGTGGCATCTAGATGTCGTACGAATTTACCCAGCCATGTCCCTGATGGCGCGTAGATCAGGGTCGGTCCATCCGATGGCTATCACGGCATCATCGCGGAAGAAGGAAACATGAAGGACGTGGGCAGGGATTGGATCCGGTTTACAGTAATACATCACGGTGGAAAGGAGTATCTGCATCCTGGTGTGTGGCAACTTCACCTTCAGCCGCTGCTGTATACCGATGTAGATTCTTGTCCTTCTGTGACTAGTCTGGCTATTGCTATCAACGATATCGGTCTTCCAAGATCTTGTGCTGTTTCAGCCAGGTGTTGTGGATATCAGATCTTGCCGAGTACGATTCCCGGAGTCATCTCATGGCCCACCAAAGCTCCTGCTTACCACCGACCCCTGACAAGCCTTGTCGTTGTTTGCCACATTGCGGCTGCGCAGGCTATACGACTTGGGAAATCAGCTGTTCGGTTCGTGCGAATGATGCGTGCAAAATTTCTCAGTGCAGAATTAGAACGCGCGAAGATCTAGCCAAAGAGTTTGAGTACGCTGACACGCAGCTGATTGCGTATACCGCAGAGAGATTAGAAAGAAGACTTTTTTGAACGGATATGTGTTGTACTACCAGGACATTGTCTTGAAGGAACAAAGCTAGCATGGGCTCTGAGGTGACTATGATCACGGCGGGAGACGATATGTGACGACATTGTATTTCTCTTCCTCCACCCAGAGTCGCTTCCTAGTACATAACCCACTGAACCCGCCCATTCTCATGTGGGCCGACGGAACACTCTGCTCAATATACTCATCATACCTCCAGAAGCTGCCCGTTGCTGTTGCACTTGCTCACGACCCAATCGATCCCAGGCCGCACTCACGTCAACGATCTCAATCTCGTCCCTCTCATCGAAGCTCAACTGAGCAATGAAAGACGCAACAGTCATACTACCAAGCTTGATTGTGTGCGGAAGAACACCACTGCTCAGCACACTTTGTGCTGTGTATAACGATGGTACAGCATGAACCCCGCGCTTTTTTCGCTCGATATTGACAAGCTTCAGGAACGCGGTGACGACGGCGTGTCGAGTAGCCTTACCGCTTTCCTCGACCTCTATGACTTCAAGAAAGGAGGATGTGGGTCCCATACCAAGCATGCGACTGAACTCAGAATCACGGTCGGAAGTGTCAGGTACCTGGGAACTAGTCGATACTGGCTCCGCAACTTCTTCGTTGGAGACCTCGTTCAGTGGTGCGTCTGGAAGCTCTTCTTTGCTGCCTGAGCGCGCGGTTGATTGGAGGCTTCCTTGCTGCGTCGCAACAACTTCGCACTTCTCGGTGCTGACCGATGCAGCCTCGTCCGAACCGACATTCGAATCGTCCGTATGGCTCGAGACATCTTCGCGATCATACATGTCGGATACTTCGGAACCCTCTACACCCGCATTGTCCACGTCGTGAAGCCTTTCGCGGATGCCGGAGTCTGACTGGGCGCCCTCAATGCGACTGTCAATACTCTCGGAGGTCTCGTCATGTGCGCCATTGGAATGCCCGAGGAGACCTTTGATTGGAGAAGCGACTGAGTCAAAGTCTGACCCGCCGTCGTCCTTGACGGTTTCGACGTCGTGTAGAAGCTGGTCGTATGCGATGCATTGGATCACACCACCCGCGCTCACTAAGAACATTCGACGAGGAAGTACACCCTTAAGTGACAGGTCGGTGTCGTCCTCGTTGAGATTTTGGTTCACTTCGTAGTTCGCAATAAGGCTAAGTGGCTTGAGCCTGCAGTACGGTACAAGAGCCCGCTCTAGATTTGCATAGTCCAACGACACTTCCGGCTTTTTCTCCATATCAGTATCTGTGAGTGGAAACTCATTTTCATACACAGGTTCTGGAGCGATGGCAGTCGTGGCATCCTGGAGCCGAGTGAAGATCGATGACCCTGTCACATCCGACTTTCGTGACAAGGCTTCCTCGAAAGCTCTCGTCGATGCTGCGGTGGTCGTAAAGGTAGGACTTCGTAGGTCTTCCACGAAAGCTTCGCTGAAAGCCAACGAAGTTGGACCTTTATTCTCAACATCCCCAACATCTTTGGAGAAGGAAGATACACACTCGTGGTTGGGAATGTCAGTGATATTTGAGCGTTCACCAGTCGTAGCAACGCCACTGGAAGCTGTGAAGGTGAAGCTATCGTTGAAGCTGCCCAGGGACTCTAGAGGCAGTGCGGACAACGAAGGCAAAGGGCTTGAGGACTGAGACCCAGGAAGACCCGTGTTCGGTAAAGATATCTGTTGTGATAGATTTGAGGTAGATCTAGCCGTAATGACAGTGGCAGATGACACGGGGCTGGAGTGCTGAGGGATCGAAAGAGCAACATCCCGTGTCGATATTGCGCTGTCTTGGGTAGGTGTAATTGGTATTGCGGGCGTGCCGAGCCTCTCAGGCTCAATATCATCGACTATCCTGTACTCCACGTTCCTCGAAGGAATTTCCCTAGTAGCTGATACGCCTTGTCTCTTGGCAGCTCTTTTCGCTGCCTTCTTCTGTCCCTTAGTCAGAGGTAGGAGAGGCATGCTGGCGGCGATAGGGTGTGTGTTTGTGAGCTAGACCCCTCTTTACCCCTCAATTCAACCTGCAGTAGGAGCGTGACGGTCTCTTCGAGGCAGATGAGTAGTATGTGATAGGTAGGTACCGCAGGTGTAGTTGAACTGAGAAGTATATAATCACCGCGTCTGGAGTACGTAGGTTGTGTTTCCACCTTTTGCTGATGAGGCAGGGAGTGAAGTTAAGTAAGCAAATTGGAGGTGGCCATATTTGCGAACACTTTGCAAAGGCGCGATCGTACGCACATGAGAGTGGTGAAAGCTCCATACACATGATGTGAATCAAACCTTGGAATCCATCACTCGGGTGTTGACACGCCATTGCAAACCATGTGGAGGACGTATATATATTTCTCTGTTCATTTATGATGTAGCGTATGATTGTAGTAGAAATCCGTGGTAAACATAAAAGAATGGATGCATCGTATAGGCCAACGGGCGCCTTCTACATCTGTCCGGTCTAGTGTAGCAAGTGTTTGGCTGATATGAAGTGATTGTGCTAAAAATCTCGCAGTTGGACGTTGGCAAGCTTTGCGAACATCTATTCGTGGTCTCGATTGTTCCGCAATATGATCGTAACATCGCTTCCGAACCAGATGTGGATATGCTATGGACACTGAGCACGAAGTATTGGTTGGCATATTGACAACAGCAAGACGTTATGCTTGGTAAGAATAGCCCCCAATAGCACATGCGCAAGATACGTTAGCAGAACCTTGAGGTGGTGGTTACCCTTCACCGTAACAGGTGTATGCCTAAGTACCTAGGTAGGTAGCGTTGGCACGAGATGAGCAAAACGCCGAGAACTCAATAGCGTACAACCTTGGAAGATTTATCCAAAGCAATTCGGCGCGAACGCGTTGTTACGATGAAAGTGGCGTGACATTTGACCCTGAGGGCTCAAGACACTACGCGCTAACAGTAAGGCCGATGACAGGAAGCCACACTATACCATAACCTGATCCGGACCGAAACAATTCAATATCGAAGGAACGCGATAGAGTCTAAGAGGCTGTCGTAATCTCAGCCATTGTGATCGATACGGTTTCAAGAATGAAGATGGCTGGGGAAGATTTACTTCTTCGGCGCGTTCTAGTGAGCACTAGTGGTCACTAGCGCGACGCGTCCGTATGAACGCCTACAGGGATCCAAAAGTTCTTCATATAAAGACATGACGATACCTTTATTATTGCTGCAATCTTCTAACTCATACAGAATGTCGAATCCAATCGTTATCGAGGTGAAGGAAAAGGTGGAAGGGGACATCTACTCATATGATGGCACATTGTACAGAATTAATGGAGAACGTCGTCTCGGCATCGATAGAATTCTCGTTACGCTTTTCAACATGAACGAAAAAGAGATGCGTAGACACGGATTATTCTGGGGTGTAATCTCTCCTGCGGACTTGGGCAAAGAAGCAAACTACGTCAGAATTAAGATGCTGCGAGAAGGACTGGAAAAGCTGAAAGCTGGCCGCGTGGCAGAGGAATTGGCAAGTCCCGTGTTTCCTTACTTCATTCAAAAATCTAGTTCTTCCAGTCGTGTTCCTCTGACTAATGATCATTGCAGCTGCCAGTGTATCCGAGACAGATATTCGAGAGCCTTGCCACAGAATGGCACAGGAGGCATGGATGGCACATAACTCCTCCATCTACAATTACTTCTCCGTCTACGATTACTCCTCCACCTACACCACCTGCAGCAAACAACCCCAAAAGGGAGCTCGATGAACCCATCCCAGACGACCATGAGATTCTGTCTAGTAAGAAGATCAAATCGGAAGAGTTCACAAGCGATGGTGTTGACGTAGCCATACCCTCACATGCTGGGGAGTATGTGAACAGTTATTGGGGGAAGCAAACCGAAACCCCATGGACTCCAGAACGCAGCGAGGATGAGAAAAACCTCATGAGCCAGCACGAGGCCTGCCGTGCCAAGCAGACTTTCGTTGCAGCTATGGGTACTTACTGGATTGAGTGCCCACTCATTGAGAATAAACACCCGGAACTAGTAGGCAGTCTGCGCATGGTCGTTCAAGCCCTTGATGAAGATACACAGGAACGCGGCTTGCTCGAGGCTTACCTCAACCTTGGGCTATTGAAAGGGACCATGGTCATGGCGCCTGGCCTTGCCATAGTCCAAGATTGGTGTTACAGACACCAGAGTCAGCGTTCAAGAGATGATGGCAATGGGAAATGCAAGATCGACAAGGAGACAGAAAGACTTCGAGACGTTCTAGAAGAGTTCAAAAGAGTAAATGGAATACCTATCGACGCGACCATTGAATCGCCGCCTCTCGACTTACAAAGGCCATTCGACCTCGACGGCGAAGCTCGACTATACGCGAACAGACCATCCATTGGTGGACCCATTCGGATCTCTGGCAATACCGCGCATCTCGAATTCCGGGTAGATAGTTTGTATTTCGAAGGCAAGATCAATCTTCCTATGATCAGCGACACGCCTGTAAAGATTTCTGGTCACAGAATCAAAAGCGATGATTCTTGCACCGTTGAGAAGTGGTTGGATTACGATACGTCGAAGGTCAAATATGGGGCGGTGTGGAACGAGTTTTGACCGACAGAAGATTTCGTTTGTTGACCGATGTTAATGGGGTAGATTTTGTCGCTAGTTATCAGAGTAGGCGTACGAGCAGCAGTGCGCTGGGCGTGCCGCGCGATCTTTAGCCATGTAAATATTCTTTTCCAGCCCTACTGTTGACCGCTTTCGACTGTTGCTTTGTCAGGTATCAATGTACACCGCAACGCGTGTCATCGCGATCTTTGGCTGTGGTGTGAAAGACCCTGCAAACCTTACAGACAGCGCATTGTTAGCGTGTTAATGCGCGGATGCATCCTTCTGTATGCCTGGGTCAGCCCGCCGGGTCCGCAGTGAATACTGACACTTTGCATGTAACAGTGCCGTCGCTGCTAGTGTGCCGAGGTGTTGAGAAGAAGAAGCTGCATGCATGACTCGAGTCTGAACTTCAGGCTGCTCGCTCATATCTTCGACGCCGACTTCCGATGCGTGCGGCAATACTGAGAGCATCGTGGTGCGCTACGTCACCTTGTTGGATCTAGACACACCTAGGTAGAGTTTACAGTTTATTGAACCTTCGCGCTAGGCTCGGGACAACTTGTGGAGATTCTGTGGAAAGGTGCCTGACTGCTGAGAGCGACTTGTCGCTTTCAGATGGCCGGCGCTTGTCATTGGTCGGCGAGCAGCGGGTTCCAGATGCCGCAGTGTCAGCTAAGGCCAACGCGCGTCTCGGCAAGCATCCCCACCCTGCGTCCGCTCGCAGGGGTATCGCCATGCACCCATATACATCGAGATACTGCCACTATGGACAGTATCGACACACATGCCCTATTCCCATATTGCCAGCACTTACTGCGAGCCTAGATCACAAAGTTGATTGCATTCACCAATTACTTACGACAATGGCCGGACTATCGTCTGCCGCAACAACCTTGGCCGGAGTGACGTATACATATAATGGATCGCTTCACCCGCGCACACGAATGCTGATAAACCACTTCTGCCTTGAGCTTGAGGAGGAGGTCGAGCAAAAGCTCATCAACGCGCGACTCGGAGTGGAGGACGTCTCGGAGGAATGGCTCCAGGCGCAGTTGCTGTTACGCGCTTTCGGGCGTCCCGGTGAAGAAGTCCGCCGAACGAAGCTTGACATGATCTCGAGTCTCGAGATTATCAACGCGATACTGGAGGACAAATACTACATCGTTAGTTTAACAATACCCATGTTTATTACCCCTCATACTAACCCATGTCCAGCGCCCATTGGAGCATCTCCTTGAACTCTTCCACAATTTAGAGGAGGTTTGGGCCAAAGCATATCCTGAGCACCCAGCTTCAGAGAATTATTTCAAGAACAAAACGCGACACAACGCCTCACAGTGCTGGTGCTTTGCTGCACAGCAAAAGAACCTACTCATCGAAAAAACGTTGCCTGCCACGGTAACAAAGCCAAAGCCGAACGTGAGTCAGGATGCACGACCTGCACCAGAAACGCGAGCCGCGAACGACGCCAATGTGCTCCAAGCACTCGCTGTGCACAAGCGGTCATTACCGGACGCTGAAGATCTTGGTGAAGCTTCCGGTGGTTTGCACAAAAGACAAAAGCTTCCGTCGCCTACTCCTGAGCCCGATAACGACAACAGGGAAGGCCCATCGTCCTTGACCGCGCCAATTGCAGGCGTACCCCTGACACCGCCAGAGCGTGCGGATCACCCGCCCCTTGCGGTTGCGGTTTCTGTACCTCCGTCCGAGAGCCCTCTATGGCGAGCGATTCTTGATGAACACAGCAGATCCAGGCTGCATAATTACATGACTCAAATGGCAGGTACCTACATGGTACAGTGTCCGTTGCTGGAAACGAGACATCCAGATCTCGTCGGGCAACTCAGCATCGTCATCAAGTACATTGGTGCTCCCTCAACTACGTCTGGCATACTCGAAGCTTACATCAACTTTGGCAATTTTGTTGGCCCGGCAGTACTTGGGCTCGACGATCCCCACCTCACAGAGTACCTTTGGGCCACAGCAAAAGAAAGACGGGGCCAACGTGGTCCTACTGACTACGTGAACGCTGAAGTTAAAAGACTTCGCGAGGCCGCACTAGATTTGGCTGGGCAAAGAACACCGGCACGGAAGAGGACTAACCTGAAGACTAGAAATCTTAGAGACATTCCTGCTCTTGAGATTAACACTTCCGAGTTACCCGGATTGTGTTTTGACGCTCGACTTGATAATCCGACCGGCGAATTCTACGAGTCAGGCACATATCGCATCTTCCAGGGAGAAATCAAGTTCAGTGAGAGCGGTCTGTGTTTCGGCGGAGCGATTAGGTTGCCAGAAAGTGCTGGAGGGGAGCTGAAGTTCAATGGTTTCAAGGTCTTCAACAAACACCGAGGTGACCTCCCACAGAAATGGGAAGATGTTCCTACCAGCAAGGTACATCCGTTGGAGGATACTCCCTTATAGGTCCTCGGCGACTGTATACACGCTGGTGTTAATCTACTTAGATAAATATGGTGTTTAGCTTTTGCATGGAGTAGCTAAATGCCGCCGAACCCGAACAATCACGAACGAGAGTTGCGCATGCCCTGGTTTACCCAGCCTGCCTCGGAAGTATGTATCACGCCCTGTATCTGCCGTTTCACCCTGTGCATTGGCCGCCGAACCTTAGGGTGGGCTCGCTTTCGGCCCGCTGCACTGACCCCGCTTTCCCGCGTGTCGCCCGACTTGATACCTTCGACACCGACGACCCACACATAGCGCCTATAGAAGCAAAGTACCGAATCTCACCGCATGCTCACATCTTTACTTGTTCCCTCTTCCATCACCTAGCTTGTTGAGTAAGTTTTGAGGTCGGCACAGCAACTTCAGCACTTAATTGTGTTCAACGAGCAGGTAACATTCATCAAGCGCAGAATGTCAACATTTGCCGCATTCACGCCAAACTTGAGAAATGCACAGTTTTGACTGACGTCAAGGCGTGTACGGTTATTCGAACTTCGGGAAACGTCCGATAGTGGCTTTCACCCCATGTTCGGTGACTTGAGCACCGACAGGCCGCTGCGCACGTCTGCCGTTATACCTGCGCGGAGATCTGATGGAGAGCCGGAAAAAAGATAACACCAAGACATGTAAGCCCACGATCATTCTACCTCACCAAGTCTTCCTATCTTCATACACTCACTTGCTCCACTTTTGTTCTTCGCTTCCGCAAATCGATCTGAGACTACTGTCATCACGTGACGGCGATTTTCACTGCGGATCCGCTTGCAGTAATACTACTCCGAGTTCGCTCTCAGAACTGATCTACCCTGCGTCGTATTGCACATTCAGTCATCGCTTCACCGATCTTGTTCTCTCACCGTCGCGCCATCATTATGCCTGCTGCAACTCAATCTCTCGAGACCATGGTTCTCCAAGCCCATCGCGCCAAAGGCGTACGCTATCCGACAGCCTCTCAGAAAGAATGCTTCAAGACCTGGTACTCTTACGCGCTTCGTCAGGGTGAAGTCACGAAGACTTCCCCGAAAGTTATCGAGGAGCACGGAAAACATCTCAAAGAGATCAAGGAAGCGGCGCCAGGTGGGCGAACGTATCTTTGAGCTGGTATGTTTCTTAGCCTGCACAAAGGCTTGCAACTGGCTTACTGACACGCTTAGACAGGATTTCGAAAAGTGTTTCAGATTTACCTTCGCACGAACTGGCGTCATCAGTCACCTTGAGAGTGTTTGGTTTTGTTATAATAGCAGTGTGCTGATAATAGTTCGATCTTAATCCTTTCTTTTTGCGTTACACCGACTCCTTTCGAGACAATTATGTCTCCCCTAGCGATTCGCGACTGGTTTGACGCTTTAATCCACAATCTGTCTCTATAACTTCGTCGTGTGGGCCTGTATCTCATTTATCACCGTAGTTTGCGAAGTCGCCGATCGTTACTAAATCTAGGCCCACTGTGGATACTAGCGCGCGACTGCGTCTTTTGACGCCGTACGCGATCTCATACACGCTTTCACCCTCATGCTACCATCTCTTTGTCTTCCTGCGCTGCACATGAATTGTTGACTTTTTCCGATAACCAAACCAAACAGCGAATCTCTGCATCAAGGTCAGGCGTCTAGCAAGTTGCGCACTTCCCTTCACTCGCCTTGTCCTAGCCGCTGCTTGCAGCTTGCCCAGGTGGCACGCTCATAGCAATCACCAAGCTGCGCTACAAACGGCATCCCATAACACGACTTCAGTGGCATATCCAGGCGCTGTAGTCATTGTGAACACTGGATCATATATATGCGCTTCGCCGCATACCTACCGTTTCACTGCTCTGACAATCGATTTTATGCTCCAACGGCGAGGCATGCATTCCAAACACGCCTCTATCTCCAACTTAATCTCTGGACATGATGGCTGCCATGATACCATCCCTTCCTAACCTTGGAAGACTGCAACCCCACTACGAAGGTTGTAAGCAGTACTCCCATGCGCATCGGCGCTCCTAGAAGATCTATCAAGATTTCACGACGCTTACACCTCGGTTGCATGGCCGGCTCACCTTCACCTTCACTATATCTCATCTGAACGATGAAATGGCGCGCTATTGTGCCATCACAAGGTGCGAAATCTCTGATCGGCGACCGCAACTACCAATAGAAGCTTCAGGATAACGCATGTGAAACGTGTGTGTATACTGCGAGAGAGAAGCGCGCGACCTGTCAACCATGGGGGTGAAATCTCGTCCCAGCCACTTTCAAAAACCTCCGCTACTCACTTCTACATAATTAAACCCACCGGAAGCCGCAGCTTTCTCCTTCTCAACTGCAACTCCCACATCCGCTGCCTGATCAGGACCAGTCTCAACTACAGCATTGCATATACACCGGCGGCCGCGATACAGTTTCCACACCCTGAGAAAAGAACAACACTTACGAAAAGATGAGCGCTACTCATTTTGCCTCCGTATATATCCCAGGACAGCCTCGACGCCTCGACGACCTGCCGCCCGAGCTGATTGTTATGATCGCGAGGAATACGAATGACACCTCCGACATCTCATCGCTACGTCGTGTGAACAAGTTCCTGAGCGCGGCCATCCCCGCATGGGTTATCTCCGAGACGACTTTCTACATAATGCCTATGTCTAGTAGCATCTCGAGGATGGCACAAGCAGTGCAGATCCAGAGCACCAACCCTAGCTGCAACCTAGGACGTGTCCCGGCGGTAATCTTCGAGAACGTATGGCCGACACCGCCTCATGAGTTTGGGCTCCATGGAGATCTCACCCAGCACGATGACTGGGAGGCCGACAGTGACGATGAGCTGCCGCCAAATTCGAACACCTATCTCCACTTCATAGATGGGTGCCATGAAGAGCGCGACTCTGCCCAGTTACGCGACTCCCTGGCGCACTCACTCGGAAGCTTTCATGGCGTCAAAGAATTGATCCACGTTCCCGGTTTCGACAGTTCTCGACCAGCACAGGAGCGACCCTCCCGTGAGGAGCTCCTTCAGACAGTGCTGCTCTATAAGGACCACGATCCGGAAGATTTTGAAGACGAGATGTGGAATCGCCGCCGCTTGATGTTCGAGCCATATCAAGGAATCCTCGATCAAGCGTGCCCTAAAATGTTCGATCGCGCTGTTGATGCCGTTCTCCGCAACCCGATGCGGAAGAACAAACTGAAAGTCTATATCGAAACGCATTCAATCTGCGCACTGGGAGATGTCGATCCAAGCGCGTCACCAATACCCGCCAGTCAGCTCGGAGATGTACTTGCGATAAAGTACATTGGTCGTTGGATGTCAACACTGGATGCCATGATCTTCGACTTGGAGATTCTGCACAATCAGAAGATCAACACAGCATCGCACTACGCGGGTATAACGCATCTCTCGATCAGCGGAGATGGACTGGGCAACGAGGGTTCAGTACACATGGGGCTCTTGGGCGGCCCATCGCACTCTCCAGACTGGTCACGCTTGGAGACACTACACCTCGACGATACTCAGCAGAACGACCAGTCCGCTGATTTTCTTCGCCAGCAGAAGTGTAATCTCGAACTCCACAACGTCTACTGGCTCGGAGATTCGATCCAACGTTTTTCCAAAGGCTCGTCACTTCGAGATGTGAAGGCTTCCGGTATTTTCGCCATCGAGGAGACCAAAGAGCATGCCAGGGGCGTCTGGATTGTGGCAAACGATCACAGGGAAGCCTACGAGATTGCGGTAAAGAATGCTGGGTGTTGCAAGCCAGTGGCATTAGGCCCTGCCGTCCCCTTCGTCTCGCCAAGCGATGTTCAGCGGTACATGGTGAAGGGAGGTGTCTTGCCGTTCAGCAAGGCGAATGTATGGGCAAAAGACTGGAAGTTGTAGAGTTTCATACATCTGTTGCAACTTCGTCGTTCTTGTCGCATCGCCGCACACGGCCACACAAGCGCTAGGTGTCGCAGTTATTTATCATCGGTTTGAGCAGATGGCTCTTATTCGACAATGGGTCTTCAGACACTCGTGAATAAAGTCGTTTTACTAAAGTTGGTTGGTTCCATGTCCGATCGCTTGGTGCGTCGCTTGAGTTGTGCGCCGAAGGTCGACTCCGGTCAAATCAGAATGCAACTCAATAAGAATACAACTGCGAGTACATTTTCAAGTGCATGATCACGGCCCAAAAAGCCCGGATGTGTCGAGAGCACAACGCGTGAAGCACCAGGCTTTGAAGATGCCCAGGTATGGCGCCCCACGGTCGGCTGGACGTCATTGGGCCGAGGTCCTGGCAGCGCGTCATGCAGGTACCCACAGAGGCGGGGTACGCCTACTCACCCCAAAAGGGTGTCGTATCCCGAAATCCCGAATAGCATACACATCTTCTGGAACCAGGTAGATCATTAATCATTGCTTACCATATAGAGGCTACGATCGTACAACGTAGGATCTGCTTTGCTCGTTGTTACTTAAACCTTTTTTTTTTCCGCACCGAATTTGCCTTCACACCAATACATCCACGACGGACTTCATCTACACCATACAGAACAACAACATACTACTATCCTACGCAAAAAATGGCGCCTCCATCTTTCCGTGACCTGCTTGGCATGCCCGCCTCTACGGCTTCGACTAGCGACTCTGCCCTTCTCATCATTGACGCCCAAAATGAATATGTAAGTAACAACCCATAGCTATCGCGAGCGGTCGGCATGCTTTCCCCCTGAATCTTGAAAGACAACTGCTGCCAGTTTATCGGCAAGGATGCTTTCGTTTTGAATGCAGCGATTTGTTGCTGAACGTTCAGTCTCCTTCTCGCCCACACTCACTCTCTCCCCGCCAGCCGCATCGCTAACTCTACCGACTAGTCATCCGGCGCTCTCACCGTAACAAACGCCGCAGCAAGCGGAAAGGTCATTGCCGACCTTCTCGACAAGTACCGCAAAGCAAACGGCAAGATCATCCACATCCTGCACCAGACACCCGAAGGCGCACCC